TTGGTTATTATTTCATTTGTGAGGGCTTGAATTCCTCCGTTGTTGATAAGCAATTTTTGGGATACGTGTATCCTGAGTGGATTGCCAGGATACAGCCATTAAATCATATATATTTTAATAAATCTTAATATGGGACCCATGTTCAGGTATACCCAAATGACGAGTCGTAAATGGGATCATACTGCACTCCACTGTTAGCCAACAAGAAACTTTGCCCATAATTTAGCAATAAGTATGAAATAATATCCTATTGTCCTAGATGCAAAAAATAACCCTTTAGGTATATTAGTAAAAATGTGTAGTTTCAAATAATGTCAAAATTAAAGGCATTATTCATCTCTTTCATGAGTGATGTATATTCCTGTGTTAACAAGTAAAAGACATTATGGGTAGTTTAAAACAACTTTCCACTTTTAACAGTCATAGTTCCTACGTTGGAGTCATAAAAATATTGTTGCTGAGGGTTAATATTCATTATACATCTGTCAAAAACAAATTGTATTTTTTTCATACTCATGAATGATTGCAATCATGATGGCTGTACTGACTTTAGTTAAAGATTAGCTAAAAGGTGTTGATATTTAGCTCTTTGGACCATTGAGAAATTACCTGTTGAAAAATCCTTGTTGCATAAACATCTTTCATAAGCGAGTTGTTACATAACCCGCCTGTAGCTCCTCTAGGGCTACAGCCGGTCCCGAACCCGTACAAAGGAGGACGGTTGGGCATAGGGTCAGCAACCCCATCCCGTAGAAAACATCCTTGTTAAAAAACGCCAATCAGGATAAACAAATTAAACCATTTATACTCTGCCCTGGGACTTGAAGGGATAATTATGACACCTCATGATGAAAGCCGAGATTTTTCGAAAGTCACGAGGCCGATGCTTCTTCTAACAACCGGAGCAACAGTTAATATAGGTACATAGAACGTCCGGATAATGTAGGATACCAGAAGGACCAGCCAAATAGCAACCGAAATGAGGAGATTTAACTTGGTGGTTCTCGAAATCAGCGATATCCATTAGACCCGAGCTGGACAACAAAAATCAGGTACGAGGAGATGTTTCTGTACTCCGGTCACGTAGAGTAAAATTCTTCATACACTCAGGGAGTTGCTCTGACGCTTTCCAAAAGTGCACGTAAAGCACTCATAGGGTTGAAATCTCATGGACCCAGGATCATCAAAGCACCTCTCAAATCTAAAAAGGAGGGGATCACAATGTATGCTATCCAGTGTTATGCACCCAACAATGATAGCAATGACGACGATAAAGATCAGTTCTACGAGAGGCTGCAATCGATCATAGCGAAGTGCCCAGAAGAGAACCTGACAATCCTGATGGGAGACTTAAACGACAAATTCGGAATGGACAACAACGGTTATGAAGATATCATGGGACGACATGGACTGACTGGGAGAAACAAACGAGAATGAAGATTTGCAAATTTATGTGCATTCAACAAATTGGTCATAGGTGAGACAATATTCCCCCATAAACACATACACAAAGCTAAAAAGCTACACGGAGAACCAGATAGATCATATTTGTATCAGTAAAAAATTCATAAGGCCAATAGAAGACGTGGGAACCAGGAAAGGAGCTGGCAAAGCTTTTAATCACTACCAACTGGTGGTTGCCAAGATGAAACTGAAGCTAAAGAAGCACTGGGCAACTGGGGAAACAGCATTACAATGGTTTAATAGAGCCTTCCTCCGACATACTGACAAATTCAACGAATTCAAGATAGATCTCAACAACAAGTTTTAGGCCTTACAAGATCTAATGAGAGAAGATAAAACTACTATGGAGGAAAACTGGAAAGGGATCAAAGAAGCATTAACTTCAACGTGTTAGGAGGTTCTGGGCCGCAACAAGTTTCATCATAAGGAATAGATCTCTATCGAAACCCTAGACAATATTCAAGAAAGGAAGGACAAGAGGACAGTAATTAACAACAGCCAAACAAGAACAGAGGATATCAAGGCACAAGCTGAATTCACAGAAGCACTAGAGCCGACAAGCGGAAATACGTGGAAAAGACAGAGAAAAAAACTGCACGGGAAGGAAATACGAAACAATTATATGACACAGCGAAGAAAATGAAAGGGAAATATAGTAAACCGGTCAAGGAAAAGAAGGCAAGTCAATCAATGAGGTTCAAGAACAGAGGAACAGGTGGGTGTAGCACCTAGAAGAACTCTCAAATAGACCAGCTAACTTGATTCCACCAGACATTAAAACAACACACACAGTCCTTCGTATAGATGTCACTCCACCAACTGTCGAAGAAATTAGGATGGCCATCAGACAAACCAAGAGTGGAAAAGTAGCAGGACCTGACAGAATACCAGATGAAGCACTGAAGTCAGACGTAGAATCAACTGAAAACATGCTCCACATTCTATTCAGGAGGATTTGGGAAGGAGAAGTGCCAACGGACTATAAAGAGGGATATTTCATCAGGATGCCAAAGAAAAGCGATCTGAGCAAATGTGGAAACTACAGGACCATCACACTACTATCGGTACCAGGAAGAATTTCCAACAGAGTGTTGCTGAACTGGATGAAGGATTCGGTAGACACCCAACTTTGGGGTCAACAGACCAGATTCCGTAAGGATCGGTCGTGCACAGACCGATTCGCGAAAATAAGGACCATCGTTGAACAATCAGTTGAGCGGAACTCGTCACTATGCATCAACTTCCTTGATTATGAGAAGGCGTTTGACAGTGTGGATAGGAGAACTTTATGGGCCCTTTTTGACACTGTGGTGTGCCTGAGAAATATAATACAGCGAGCACCAGCCAAACTACAATTGATGGAGATGCTCTGGAAGATGTGGAAACTTTTAAAATACTTGGGAGCGTTATTGATAAACAAGGGGGATCTGATACAGATATGAAAGCATGGATTCGCAAGGCAAGCGGAGCATTCCTACGACTGAAGAACACATGGAACTCTAAACAATTGTCAACCAATATCAAAATGATAATCTTCAATACGAACGTCAAGACAGTTCCACTGTATGGAGCTGAAATTCGGAGAACTATCACAACCACCATCAAAAGGTACAAGTATTTATAAATAATTGTCTACATCAGTCAGCCAGCTACAAGGTAGAACCAGGCACATATATGGATCGATCCAAGTTGCCATACCTCATTAGCACAACAAGATGAACACCGAATTCATAGTAGTTAATTCAATGGTGATAATGTATAAGACAAAGATTGCATATAAGGATATAGTACAGGAAGAAAGAATTAGTTGGTAAAAAGAAAGATATGAAGCGATTTTAATCTCATAGTTTAAGGGATGAAAGAGAGTGTATACATAGATTCTGAGCCATGTCACCCAAAGTCTCCAACGATATTCAAGCCCGACCACCACGTCAAGATAGCAACAACGGTCAGGAATCGTCTACGTAAGGTACTCAATATCCGTTGACCAGTTATCATAAGCAACAGTCTACTGTGGGAGAGAACAAACTAGCTTCCAGCTTAGGAAGAAATTAGGAAAAGACATTGAAAGTGGATAGGATACACATTGAAGAAAGCATCAAACTACGTCACGAGGCAAGCCCTGACTTGGATCCTGAAGGGAAACGAAAGAGTAGAAGGCCAAAGAACACATTGTGTCGCGAATTGGATGCAGACATGAAAAGGATTAAGAGCAACTGAAAAGGAGTGCCCAGGACAGAGTTGGATGGAGAATACTGGTAAGCGGCCTATGGTCCTCCATGAAGGGTAACAGATGTAAGTAACGAGTTTTTACCATTCAACTGAACATCAGAATTGTTTTTTCCAGTAGGGTGATACATAAGATAGTAATGGAGTTGTTTATTTCATAATAGATTACTAGATGGGCGGGAATTCGTAAGTACATCAACTTTACAACACTGTTTACAATAAGATTTATCGGCTTTATTTTGTAACTGAATTATTACATCTTTACATTTCTTATTAATTCAACGTTTCATTAAACGGAAAAGAATGAGAATAGGTAACAGGAACTTTTTCTAAAAAATCAATTGATTCATGATTTTAGTAAAATGATGAAACTCAGGAAATGTTTTAAATGCTACAGCGATATCGAGAACACTACTGAAGAACAGAAACACAATATTCTAGGTCAATACTAAACTTTCATATTACAAATTACACTTCGAAAATTAACAACCACTACATATAAAATGTATTGAAGTTTATTTCTAGACATATTCGTCAAGCACCAATGCTCATAGTTATAATTAAAAAACTTTTGGTTCTTACAAAAAAGATGTCATTAAACCTCTGCTGAATACGGAATGGCACATTTTATTTCATTTATCATAACATACGGGTTAACTTAAGAAGTCATAAATGCAGTTAAAAAGTGTTAAATGTGAGAGTTTTTACCATGACAAGTGGAAATTAGAATAAAGTTCACAACCTGACAGTTATATGTTCGATTACAAAAGTTTACAATATGGCCTTTGTAAGTTCTTCTAACCTAGGATTGACATCATTCAAGTTTTATTTGGTACTTGATCAACTACTATTAGATTTTGTAGAAAAAATGCTGTATCCCTTACTATAAGAATGTCATCTACAGAAAATCGATGTATATTAATTCTCCTATTCACATTAGGCGTAAGAAAATTTGTTTATTATTCAATAAATAAACGAAAACTAAAACAAATTTTAGAGATAGGAAGTTCAAAAAGAATATTACATACCTTTAAATTGCATCTAAAAATTAGATTGTGTCTGAACAAAAGACATCCTGTTTGTTCATAGATAATGGATAAACTTATTTAAGATCGCATTTAATAGTATATTTGTAGGTATACGATAATAATGTTCGAATAAATGAAAAGTTTCTCTTTTAAACTGCACTAAATTTTTCATATTTTAACCATTTTAACAATTTTTGTTTACCATAAAATGTAAATTTAAAGGGAAAAGAAAATTTCATTTAACTTCCAAACAGCTGCTTTTCTGTAATAACTACTCACCTAAATGTTTTATCCTGTAAAACATTGATTGGTCCATTTTAGCACGTTGCATTCGCATGTGATTAGACTCCTTTTTGCGAAGTAAACAGCGCATTTGAACACGAGCATTTTCATCTAAACCAACTTTGGACATTTCGGATTCAAGACGATCACGTCTTTCCTTACGTTCGCGGTGTATTCTACCAATATCTGCCATTCTTTGTTCCATAAACCGTCGATAAACAGCTGGATTAACTGGTTTTACTATTCGAAATGTATGCTGTTCATGGGATGAATCCATAGATTTTTTTGTTACTTCAGGTTCTTGGACTTGTGTTGATAGTTTCGTTGAAGGATATGTCGGTTTTTCCGTATTACCATCATTATCAAGTTTTATAGGGATAACAGGTTCCATTGAATTTGAGAAATAAGTTTTTATTGGTTGATTTACAAAGGGACTAGCCGATCGACTACAAAAATCATCTGTTCCAATTTCATCTTGTTGCTGTTGTTCTGTAGGGGTATTCATGTGTGGTGTGCTAAATTTTTCAACCTAAAAATGGGAAATTCAAAAGTTAGACTAGGGTGACATCCAAAATCTGATTTTAATGTTCTCTAATGTGTAGAAAGCAGTAACACTGTCTTTTTCATGGTCTAGACCTATTTAAATTTATCAGTGCAAATTTTCCGTCTATAATCTATGATTGCCATAAAAATGGAGTGCGATGAAATCGCTGAAAACAGATACTATTATCCATCTGAACAATACCGTATTCTAGTGGAAATTTTACTGGAAGTATTATTATTTCTCTTTAAGGCTAAAGGGATTTACAACCAAATGATTATTTTAAAGAGAGCAAAAACAAAGATTGGTGCAGAATAATATGAATTCACTTTATTTCGTTAGGTCCTCATCAGCTGCTTACAACCCAAAATATTTGAAATTCAACATTATTATAGATATTGACATACTTATACATAAGAGGGCGATGAAGGATGAATAAATGTATCATGGTGTAGCGAAGATTCCGATAGAGTTAATGAGGTCGTAAAATTTTGTATCGAATAAATAGAGTTTGAGAGGGAAAGTTAGTGCTTCGGCAACCTCTTGAAATTTGCCGAAGCATTAGCAATCAAACGTCTAAAACCAGATCTATGTATACAAAAAGAGACAATAATAAATCATTCTTTACCCTGGTAATAATAACCCCTTTTTTCATTTATTTCTCTATTTATTTATTTAGTCATTACTCCAACTCTTTTAAATTACATCATACATAACTGACTGATTTCAATTCATATTTTCTTTATTACTATTAATCTATTTTCATGAGTTCTAATCACTATTTCAATGTTCCGGAACTTTCCCTCTCAAACTCTATTTATTCGAGACAAAATTTTACGACCTCATTAACTCTATCGGAATCTTCGCTACACCATGATACATTTATTCATCCTTCATCGCCCTCTTATGTATAAGTATGTCAATATCTATAATAATGTTGAATTTCAAATATTTTGGGTTGTAAGCAGCTGATGAGGACCTAACGAAATAAAATGAATTCATATTATTCTGCACCAATCTTTGTTCTTACTCTCGTTAAGATAATAAAGGGAACTATGTGTATCAAATGATCATTATTTATCAACTCACGACATAAAAAGAAAAACGTTTCCTTTTTCAAGCCAATTTAAACAAAAATTATATTACTCAGATAATTTCTCTTAGATCTAAATGAACGATAGTTAGGGAAGGCATCTAATTCACAAATTGAGATATTATATTATAAAGCTTTCAATGCGTCTTTATTTGTAAATTAAACAAATGCTCATATAAGAATTAGCATGGGGATTGATTAAGTTGTTGTTATTCATCTCTCATCCTCATTTTCACTATTTAGCTTTCATATGTCCTTTGGATATTTATGATACGAATGTTGAAAGTTTGCCGCAAAAAGCAGGTTGCATCAATAAATATCAAACCCCATATTGATATACTAAGACATTCAAATAGAGTACAAGTATGCATGGTAATATCCCAATTTCGATCATTAAAATAAATCCACAAAACACTCACAAATGTGTTGTAACAACTCGCCTTTTTAAATTTGATACTAATCATGTTGCTTAGAATGATAATGAAAGCCATACAACTGAATCATTCAAGTCACAGAAGGCGATGACATTACAAGAATATACGTATACCATACATCATAATTCTTTATAATAATATCTGGATCTATGCATATTTATTACACTTAGTGAACCTGAAACATACCATAGATTTTTTTACTTAACGATATGGCCAGTGTAAAAATTAGCAAACAAAGAACCATTAGTTACGTACAATGACTGAATTTTCTTTACGCTTATCTATCATAATGGTAAACCTACTTTTTCAGGGGCTAGAGATTTTTTGGATATCATGAAATTGCAGTTGTTCGATGTCACCATACGAGGAGGTAGTTTTGGAGGGGTATCTGACGGTGAGTTTATGTCGTTTGCTGTACATAATACTGATTGTAAGTTATCATCTGAAGTTTGAAAACGAGAATCTGTAGTATTGACTTTATTTGATTCCTCCGAGAGACTCAATACAAGAGAAGAGCTTATCGTGGCTACGGGGCTTGCTGCGTTTTTGTTTGAATTACTTGTTGTCCGATAATTCTGTCGATTTACAGTTGTGTTTAGTGATTGAGGTCTGCTGCAACAGGTTGATAAAAAGAACTATAAAAGATTAGAAACTTGTAATATATATGAGACACCCTATGTTTAGGGCTTCTTCGTGAAGTTATGAAGAAAACATTATTGTTTTTACAGGATACATTAAAGTTGAGATTTAGCTACAGCGCTACTATTATTCACGTATTATTTGCTTGTATGCAGTGTTGTCCAAATGATCATCTATATAGGTACATGCCTACTAAATGAGATTTCTCCTTTTTCCCAATAAGTTCATCATTGTATTGTAGAACGCCGTCACATCTTAGTTTTCCTATGAATTAATTTGAAAAGCTATGGTGATATTTCAGTATTTACTACAGAATATCAACAATTCTGTAAACCTTAAACTCTGAAACTAAGATTCATCCTATGAGAGCGAGATTCATTGTATCGATTCATTGTACCCTGGTAATAATATATGTATTTTTTAGTTATATTCTAATGAGTAGAAAAGTTGTATTTCTGACGTTTCATGACTTAATGTAACCAGTTCTACCCTGAAGAAGTGGCTTACACTAAGTCACGAAACACTAGAAATACAATTTTTCGGCTCATTAGGATATAACAACAAAATATATTTATTATTAACTTTCTGCCCAATGCTCAATTTATTTGAAACTATAATGGCCAACCTTGGTATTACTACCTATAAGTCTAATATTTATTTGCTAACTATCCTTACGACGTTCGAATATACTTATTGAAAGCAAAATAGAGTAGACTTATATGCTCCATTGCTTTGTGACTGGAGCCTATTCAGTAATCTCGGCCTAACAAAAAATAATAATAAGATATATCCAGTGTATTCCACACATTAGCTTTTTATACAGATCGGACCAACGGTCAGTATGATTCAAAGTTTGTTGTAAGAATGATATAAATGGGTAAAAACAATTCACTAAATATAGTCATGAAATTTTGGGAACGACCGTGTTTGATCTGCTTTTTAAGTTGAATGAAGTTAAGGTCATACCACTTGTATAAAAAAAATTCACGAATAATTAAAAGCCATTAACAACTGTATGATGTTAACATCACGTCAACTTGGCTAGAGAGACATACTCGCTACCCAGTACTTTTTGACTAATATATGCTATTTTGAAACTGGACTTTATATTCCTGAGAATCATTAATCATGAATTTATCACACTTGATAGAAATTAAATGTTTCTGTGAGAACTTGAATCCAAGTTGTTGTTCAGATTATCGATGAGATGACTATAAAGTTAAGAGTGAACTATCTCTGAACTCATGTCAAATGTATGAAACAGTAGAGATATCAAAAATTCTCATCGTGTAGGTTAGAATAACACAAACGAAACAATATTTTTCTCAATTAGATCTTCATCAGGGTTCACTTTAAAATACTGTTACGTAGGCGAAAGAAGATAGCGATTGACTGTTGATTACAGATACTAGTATATAGTCACACATATCTGATACGCCATATACATTCTCCTACCCTTTGTATTGTCGTGACTACTGATTAATACATGTAATAGTCAAGCGAATTATATTTTCATGATTTGAGTTGCGTTGACGTGTGGTAGAATAGTTCCTGGCTAGGTATCTCATATAGAGTGAGTCAATCGTATAGACACTAAAACCATCGATTGTTTGACCTAGGCAACCAGCATCTCATTATTATTCAGGAAGAATCGAACGCCGTTTCGTATCAAATTGTCTCACAAACTTACTATAAACAAAATTAACATGTGTGAACAGGCTTTCAGTGTGATTTTATTATTAAACCTTACACGGTCTCTGATATTGTTAATTTTGACTATTCCTCTGAATCAGTTTGCCATGCAAAACATTGAAATTACTTGAATTTCAGTTGCTGAAATTGTTTAAAATGTAATTTTTATATTTATTGCTAAATAAACAGAGGGTGTGAAGAAATTGGTACGATTTTTTAAACCTTATCCAGCTAAGGAAAAGCCAGTGATATTATAGATTTCTTCTGAACACAGACTGGGGTTTTACGTTCGAATATATATGGCTTTTGATAAATATAAGAAACAGTCTTACCCCATTGGGAAACAGTGAAAATATATGGTAGATCAATCAAAATGATTTAGTGTTATCTAACACATGACCACTGTCAACTAAGAGTGACAAAATAGAATTATTCCGATTCTTTCCAAACCTCTCAGGGAGATGTTCACTGATTTCTTAGTTGAGTTACCATGTAACTTTCTCTGTGGGAGCAATTGAATATGTAGATTCGAATCAGAGAGGTGACATCAGGTTATTTATTCTTTGTTTCAGTACACATTACTGATGGACTAAAAAATGACAAAGCTTCACTGTGTAAAGTCTTTTTAACTCCCTTTGTGGTGTGTGCTTTTGATGTCGACAGATATAAGTGGTATGTATTATCAACCGAAAGTGAAATCCCTATCGACAGGTTAAGAAGACCAAAGAAAATAGAACGACAACAGAGTAATTGGTGTAGAAACGAAGGAGAAATCAAGTCTGAGACAATTTATTGACATTTTGCATATGAAGTATTTACTGTATGGTTCTCAGATTTTACTAAGAGATTTTGTAATTTTGTGTCCAAATACATTTGGTTGTCCCTACTGGTGTTCTCGTTCATTACACCTTCACTAATGTAACATATAGAATATCAATAGGTACATCCCCTCAAATTGTAATTTAGGAAGATGGGTTTCTTTCGAGGGGCTGATGCATCAAACGTCTTCTGCACCATTTATGTCTCCTTTAAAAATATTTGCGGGTAACCCATTTCGGTAAGCACTGTATCAGTAAACTCCAATTTTTCTATGGCGTCGTCTGAGGAGATTGTTTTTGTTCGGCTCGCAAGATATCTAACTAGATTTCTTTTTTAATGAATGGGTGTAAAGCTAAAGTGTTTTTACTGACGCATAAAGGGGCTTTTTATATACACAATTTTCCTTAACGAGCCGTCAATAATTGTGTAGATAAACATTATTGTACAAAAGAGTACACCTTAGTGAAGATCCAATTGTAAAGCATTTACAAAATTTTCAGTAAAAAGTGATCTGGTCTCCTTAAAAATAGAAAAAACCTTCTGCTAGCGCTACACAGAACCCAAACTATTTCAAGGGTGAATTCATGGTCATTTACCAACTCTTTAAGCACATATGAAACAGAAAGGTTCAGAATTAATTCATGATATCTTAACTCATCGTTGACAGTACTATACATGGTATATTGGTATAAACGGAACTTTGTGCATTAAGAAAAGTATAAAGCGCAGAGGATTCATCTAACTTAATCTATGACGATGCATACGTTCGCTTACAATCACGAAGAGAACTGCTGATATGTGTAGGTATATATGAAGCGGAAGTAGAAAACTCACTGATGATTACTCTCAAACACTTAATAATGAGTATATTTTATCATGATGGCACATAACTTAGTCGAGTAACTATATTATATTGAATGATTGGTTTAACAAACACTGGAAAATACAAAATACAAATTTTAGTCAGTAATAAACAAAAAAGAAACGAACACATCAATCAAATGATGAAAATTTTAGTATTTCTTGCTTTTAAAGAAAAGGGAATAGGAAAACCAGGATCCAATGCAGTTTGTTGACTAACTTGTGTCCAGAAATATTGAGAAACCAGTACATCGATTATAAGGTTGCGAAAATCTGGTGGGACTCATGAGACGTTTACATTTGTTAGCAAAACTTGAATTCCCAATAATGATATTTCAGTTAGGAACTTTACGGGTGATCAGAAGAATAGTAACTTAAAGTTTCTCTGAAAAACAAATACTTTCATTTTTATCTTACCTCGCGATTTCTTTTTTGTAGGTGTGTGAAGGTATTACAGGGTGGACAGCAGTTGCTGAGATTATGAGATCTGCAGGATTAACACGTGTATTTGTTGTTGAAACAAATTGATTTCGCAAATTCGACCGAGGAGGAATTGGTGGTGGGAGTGGGGCACCTTTTTTGTTACCCAGTTCTAATTTGCATCCTCCAGTAGGACTAGTATTTGAGTCTGAAGATAATAAAGACTCATCAATATCTTTTGTTTTAGGGCTTTGAGTGATCGGGGTCACTTGATGGTGGCAAACTCTACCTGGCTGCAGGAAACACTTATCTTCTACGGGACAGTAAACAAAACATAAAATACAATGAGCTGTTTATAATCCAATATACAAAATGTGATATATATATATATATATATATATATATATATATATATATATATATATATATATAGACGTTATCAATACCTTGGTGATTTCAGACAATTATCAACGCAGAAAAAAGAATCCACCACTCCCTATAATTTTCGTATATTCATCTAAGTACTATCACTACTCAGGGTAAAGCGAAATTTTCATAAAAGACTAATGATAGTAATAACAGTGTATTTCTAACATAACAGATACATGCCAATTTCACGGGGATTGTCGACAATATATAACACTGGTTTGTAGAAAGCCCCCAAACGTCGTGGTGCTTCAGAGGATGGAAAAAGTCTGCTCTCTCGAAATATTCATTCAGAGAAATCCCACTCACAATCATTTAGTAACACGTGTTCCTATTTTTTTATTCCCCGTCACTTTTCCTAGCCCACATACAAATTAAATGACGACCACGATCAGAAAATCTATTCACGCCTTAATTCTCATTCTCGCGACTAATACTCACAACCAGTTTTTAGTGCCCAATTTCATTTCACATTGTCTCACTTGTCTATTCCTGTATTCCTATTTTATATGTTCCTTTATTCAACCCCTACAGCACCCCAACTATGGTGAAACCCTATCCTATCTAGACGATGATGACATAGTTCTGTTTGGTGAGGACGCTGATAAAATGCAGAGTCTCTTGGTAGCACTAAGCAACAATGCCAGAATGTTTGGAATGCGCTTCTCTCCCTCGAAATGCAAGTTGTTGCTTCGGGACTAGTCTGCGCCAACACCTGAACTAAGGATAGGAAGTGAAATAGTCGAACGCATTGACAACTTCACTTATCTCGGAAGTCTGATCAGCAATCATGGGCTAGTGTCTGACGAAATTTCAGCACGGATTCGAAAAGCTCGTTCGGCTTTTGCCAAATTACGTCACCTATGACGAAGACGAGATATCCGTCTGTCAACCAAAGGACGAGTATACTGCGCGGCAGTCCGTTCTGTTTTAATTTACGGCTGCGAAACATGGCCATTAAGAGTAGAAGATACTCGTAAGCTACTAGTATTTGATCGCAGATGCCTTAGAAATATTGCTCGCATCTGCTGGGATCACCGGGTAAGTAATAGTGAGGTTAGACGCAGGGTATTAGAAAATGATGGTAAATCAGTCGATGAGGTTGTGAATCTTCATCGACTGAGATAGTTGAGCTATGTGTTACGTATGCCTGAACACCGTTTACCACGACGAGCAATGCTGACCAGTGTTGGAAATGGTTGGAAGAATGTTAGGGGCGACCGAACCAAAACGTGGCATCAGTGCTTGAAGTCACTAACTTCTAGTCTGAGCCATGTTGGTAGATCCAGACTACTTGGTTGGGGTCCGCGTGACTATCGTAACCAATGGTTGGAGACTCTGGGTAACATGGCTCAGAATCGGTCACAATGGCGTCAGTGTATACACTCTCTTTCATCCCTTAAACTATGAGATTAAAATCGCTTCATATCTTTTTACCAACTAATTCTTTCTTCCTGTACTATGTCCTTATATGCAATTTTTCTCTTATACATTACCACCACTGAATTAACTACCTCTATGAATTCGATGTTCATCTTGTTGTGCTAATGAGGTATGGCAACTAGGACCGATGCATATATGTGCCTGGTCCTACGTTGCAGCTGACTGACTGACTGAGAAAGTCTAGACATAGATGTCTGTTATCTATTCGTCAACCGTAACCAATACTCTAGTGAAGTACTACGAATTCGCACTCAATCTGTCGCTTCGAAAAGCTGGTTTCACACACGATTATTCAGGGACCTTGTGGAAACTTCGTTTGGTTTTGCCAGTGTTGGTGTCGCACTAAGCAGTAGAACTGACGTAGAACTAGTCGATTGTGCTGTTAGATTGGAAAGCTCCATAGAAGTGCGAAGAAATCAGCGTGAAAAACGATATCCTTTCGTCATATCCACCTACGCTCCGACAGATTGCAGCCCGGATGCGATCAAGGATGAGTTTTGCTACCAGTTGACTGTTTTCCTACAGAAAGTACGTTCGACAGATATTGTACTTCACTGACATAGTGTTGGGTAGACCGCTCGTGGCACTTCTTCAAGTTTTCTTGTTTCAATTTCTTACCTCCTATTCTCTGACTAGCTCTAGTTTTAGCATAAAGGGAATGTAAAATAGTAAAGGCACGGTAATTCGTGGAAATAACTAACATGCTTTTGTCAAATAAGTTGATCGAACAGTCATTCTTACAGAGGTCGGTTCTGGGAGGAAGCTAATATAACAACTTAAGTTGGGTGGTTAACAATTGGCCGAAAACATCTTATTAATGTCAAGACTTTAAGGCTGAGGTATTTGTTTACTTTCACGTTTTGCATAAGCATTATATTTCCTATTGTCCTACATTGCATGTTGAAAGCTTTGTATATTTGAAAGGACAACCTCGCACTCCAACTGTTCTATTCCACGCTTATCAATTTGGCGTACTCCTAACGGAAAACCAAGAGTAACCTCTGGCATTAAACTACCAACGGCTAAATGTTCCTTTAAAAACGTATGTTCGACGGATATTGTAGTACTAGCCGGAAACTTGAAATGATATGTCGGGCTTCTAGACACATAGAAAAGTCGTTTAGATGACCGATGGAGATTTGTTGGTCGCAGGTCAGATAACGGTGACCATCTACTACAACTTTGCGCAGACTACAATATGCTTCTGGTTGGCATTAACTATCAGTACATTCATCGCCGATGTGACACAAGCGAAGACTGTCACGTAATGGAATTGAGCAAAGCTTATGTAAGAACCGAGAAGCCTGGTGGTCGGAACGTGCCAATGAGTCGGGAGCAGCAGCTGCATCTAATAACTGCCGGAAGCTCTTTCAACTCATGCGAGTCACTGGCAGCACGAAGTCTGATGTGAGTGAAACAATCTGTGAAGATGACGGGATGACAGTCAATAACATTTACTGACGTCTCAGATGAGGGGCAGAGTTTTTCGAAGAGCAGGTCAACTGGTCTGCTGAACCGGTGGCATCGATCAGACTGTCCTGCCTTCCATGGCCGGTGACGACCGATCCACCTAACGAGGTAAAAATCTGCAAGGAACTCCAATTCCTGAAGCGCTACGAATCACCAGACTCAGATAACTTACCTCCAGTCCTTTTTAAAGTCGTTGACGACCTTCTGGTTAAAAACTGACTTGAGTACGCGAATGATATTGTCTTACTGTGCGGTGATACCCAAACCATGCAATCCGCACTTAATGAGTTGGTAATCAGGGTCCATAAGTATGGTATGTGCCTTGAACCTTCGAATTGCAAAGTACTTCTACAAGACTGGCAGGACCCTGAAGCTGCACTTACTCTGGGTAGTGAGCAGATAGAAGTAGTCGAGAAGTTCATGTATCTATGTAGCTACGTAAGTGTTGTTAGTGGCGTGAACGACGAGATCGACTCACGTATAGTGAAAGCCAGAGCGGCTTATGCCAATCATGGTCATCTTTGGCGCCTTCGTAATCTTGATCTGGCTGCAAAAGGTCGGATCTGAAAAGCGTCGGTGAGAGCAGTTTTGCTTGATGCTTGTGAAACCTGACCTCTCCGAGTTGAGGATGTTAGAAGACTCTCTGTGTTTGGTCATCATTGTCTCCGAGGAATTGCTAACATTCAGTGGCAACATCATGTTAGCAATGAAGAGGTTCGGTATCGTGTGTTCGGGCACAGAGATGATCATTCAATTGGTGTCACTATCTTGAAACATTGACTTCGGTGGCTTGGACGTGTCTTACGAGTGTCGTCCCAGCAAATTCCACATCGTGCATTACTTGACGACACTGGGACTGGTTGGAGAAGGCGAAAAGATGTTCGGTGTATGACATGGTGTTGTAGTATAAAAGAATGCTGTACAGGGCTGACTTCTGTTGGTCCTTCACGACTTCCTGGTTGGGGTCCTGAAGATGGTACAGCACAGTAGCTAGAGACGTCATCAGACATGGTTTAGAATAGAAGTCAGCGGCGATCTTGCTGTAACTTTCTTTATAAAATATGGACATAACTTCTTTAACCGAAAGAATCCTTTCTGGTTGTATTTTCTCTAACTGAACAGTTCCTCCAATTATTGTTATACAACTTCCATGCACTAATTTCTGTTCATTGTTGTTCATCTTTTTCATTGTACGCACTTCACCTTCTATATCTCTTCACAACCTCATTGTTACTGTGTGACGCCTATATATATGGTGTCCCTTTGTACCAATGTTTCTGTCCATATGAACAAAATGATTTGAAAAATACCTAACTGAATCTTAAGATTTACAAACCCACGGTTGTTGCACATATAGTGCATATTAGTTCCTTCAGATCAAAGGATCACTGAGTAACTTATTGGATAAGACCATGAAAATATTTAACTTGGTACAAAATGATATTCCATAGTTGCACTTACCTGTGATGTAAAACTGTGACTCATTATATGCAGATGTGTCATGGTTACATGGAACACGCTCTCGTAAACCACAGTTTGGTGGATTTTGTGTTATTCCGATGTTTGAAGTTAGTGGTAATGCAGAACTTTGTGTAGATATATTCGGTACAGGACCCGATTGCCACAATTCACTAAATGCACATGAATTACTATTAGGGAGACGAGGTCTTCGACTGACTAATGGACTTGCACTGGAAGGATTATTATTTGTGCTTACACATGCTGAGTTCGACGCGGGTCTTGTTGAATAAACTAGAGGGTTATGTGACAAAGAGTTTGAATTAGTTGATCCAAGGGAAAAGTAAGGTACGGGAACTGAAACCAACGGACCATATATATTGCCTGGCGGAGAAATTTGGTGCATTTGAATATGATTTGGAGTTAGGTGTGAACCATATCGATGTAACACTTGACCTGGAGAAGGAAACAATGACTGAAACATGAAGCCTCCAGCATCTTGAGCACTGTGACTATGAGTAAGTTTGTGTGCGGATGAATTTCCGTGCATCCTGTCTTCAGTGGCAAAACCTTGAGGAACGACAGTGTCTGGGTTGTAAGAAACATGGTGTGCAGACAAAGCAAGTGTCTGTGCTGTTGGGATAGAACTACTTTGTGGAGGCTCAATAATCCCATATATACCTGAATGACAAACCGGTGATGAAGCAGCACAACCTGGTGAAGATGCATTTGATGAACAGTCAAAAAACTAAGGAAAGATAACATAAAAATTCACATTATTTTGTAGAACAATGAGGCCACTCGAGAAAGTGAAAACAATTTCTATGGAAACACGTAATAAATAATTTTTTATATCCCAATGAGTAGAAAAATTGTATTTCTGATGATTCATGATTTAATGAAAGTCACTTCAAAGTAAGTAAATAACCGAAGTAATTATGTACAAGTTCCCAGGCGGCAATGAAAACTTATATACACATATTGTGGTCATTATGGGATTGACTTCGGTTTAAATCAGAACACTAACTTGTATTTTTATCAAAAGGAACTGCGCGGCAGTTCGTTCTGTTTTAATTTACGGCTGCGAAACATGGCCATTAAGAGTAGAAGATACTCGTAAGCTACTAGTATTTGATCGCAGATGCCTTAGAAATATTCCTCGCATCTGCTGGGATCACCGGGTAAGTAATAGTGAGGTTAGACGCAGGGTATTAGAAAATGATGGTAAATCAGTCGATGAGGTTGTGAATCTTCATCGACTGAGATAGTTGAGCTATGTGTTACGTATGCCTGAACACCGTTTACCACGACGAGCAATGCTGACCAGTGTTGGAAATGGTTGGAAGAATGTTAGGGGCGACCGAACCAAAACGTGGCATCAGTGCTTGAAGTCACTAACTTCTAGTCTGAGCCATGTTGGTAGATCCAGACTACTTGGTTGGGGTCCGCGTGACTATCGTAACCAATGGTTGGAGACTCTGGGTAACATGGCTCAGAATCGGTCACAATGGCGTCAGTGTATACACTCTCTTTCATCCCTTAAACTATGAGATTAAAATCGCTTCATATCTTTTTACCAACTAATTCTTTCTTCCTGTACTATGTCCTTATATGCAATTTTTCTCTTATACATTACCACCACTGAATTAACTACCTCTATGAATTCGATGTTCATCTTGTTGTGCTAATGAGGTATGGCAACTAGGACCGATGAATATATGTGCCTGGTGCTGACTGACTGACATTCTTGTCAAGAAATGAGAACTTTCGATTCAAAGAAACGAATCTTTTACAGTTATGGAATGAAAAACGATCCTGTGTGATTCTGTTACAGTATCAATCAGAAGATCATAAATCATGCGGTCACCAAAGTACCAATTAATTTTAATATGATTTCCAAAGAGTAATGAATAAAATTCTGTATCTTATAAGAACATATACATAAGATCCAAAAGCCTTTTCAAACAAAATGCCTACACAGCATATCAAGTTTGAGAAGTTTTCATACAAATCATTTATCTGGACTGGAAAATTCACCAATAGAGCCGAAAAAATTGCTAAAAATACAGTAAATTGGATTTGAAAATTTTTCAGTTTCAAACGTCAAAACATTCCAAAAAACAGTGAGCTGCATCCATATATCAGGCAAACTAAACATGAAGGTCGACGCAACATCAAAAACATTGATAGGCTTGGAACAACTAGCTTCAGTGACAAATTAAGTCTACAAATGAACACACCTTTCACTAGGCATCAAAGATATCAACAAAAATCAAAAGCATCGGAAACTTCGTGACAAAAAAGAAAAATGTAGAAAACAAATACAGGCATGACTTCAAGCTCTAGTTTCGTAATTTTCTTACCTCAAAAAAAGAGCTAATAAAATGTGAATTCCTATAAACTTTTCAACGACTGATATGATTAACGGGATGTCTATGCTATTTATGGCCCAATTCTTTGATAGGAATCACTCTATAACTGAGGGAGTGCAAAACTGAACTGTGAGGTGGAACAAAACCGCATCCATGAACTAAAACTGATAGGATTTCTCTTGCTGATAACTCTTTATTGTTTAAAATGGTGCAAGGAATTTTAGCTGAGTGATTGTGATTGAAAGACTTGATAGGAAACTTATTAAGTGTTGAATTTGTCGCTGTCTTTATTTTGTAGAGAACATCACTAAATACAATTATTCAGTGATATAACCTCTTACCCCATTATTATCCAGAATGAAGATATGAGTACATAATTAACTCAAACATGTCACAAAGAGTATAGAAGATTTTTATAACTAAGCTGATTATATATTACTTTTACTTAGCCAGCTGCTTTTAAAATGGTGAGTATTATACACCATTGATAGCACGTTTTCCATACAAAGCAAAAATCGTCATAACTGCTATATATTTACTTAATTTACCTGTAAATTTCATTTGTACGATAGCTTTGTCAGGATATTAGTACTCTATAATTTCTAATTCACTTCGATTTTACTCATAAGTTGTGGTCAGCAAAAGTTATTTCTGTGCTACTACTGCCTGATCCGGAATTGGTATAGCTCTTCTGGTTGTTTTCAAAATGGACAATCAGTTTCAAAAGTCCAGAGGCACGGTAGTGTCCAGGATCAAACAGTCGTCAGGGTGGTTAAACCATCTTGCTTATTTTGATTTCACAACCCAACAAAACAACCGTTTCCACAGACTGACTATTTAACAAAATGGACTGAACAAAAGATGTCTGTCGACAAAACAAGGCTTGCAACTACAAAAATCCTTTGTGACTTTGCAAATGGCAAGCTTAATGGTTGAATAAAGCAAAACGTTTGCTTTAGAAAAACCATGACAAATAAATAAACTAATTAGCGACAAAAAATCTTGAATAGCGCAAACGTATGTACTTCCAAAAGTTAGATCTTATATACTAAATAATCAACTGATAAATATTATTTTTAGCAGATAAAATGTAGCTACTAGACTAACTATGAGGATTTAGTGAGTTGAATGAAACAAGCTAACGGCTGCAAGTCAATGGATGATTTAGTAATTAGAACTAACATTGATAAATTTAGTGCCGATGAAATTCACTGAAACATCACAGTTTTAGTGAAGCATACAGGCTGCTGTTAACTTCACCTCCCGGCTACACTCATATTTATTTATTTTATTGGACTCTGAGTCAATAACAGTGTCAATACATTGATAAGCATTGCAATTCACATTTCCAAGAGCGACAAAATCGACTTTGTAATCCCACTTAAGTAATACATAGATTTATAAGTCTGTCTGTGTCTGACGATTATCACTTTTGCTGGCTAAGTCTATTTACTATGAAATATGACAAAACAGGCAAACATAGAAATATATAGGCACTAGTCTTCTAGCGAAAGTGTAGGTTCCGGGTTGCTCTGTCTAAGAATCTCAAAGACCTCTTTATCTTGAAATGGAAAGTCAGAATCTCGTTGTTTTTTTTTAATGTCAATTATGTATGAACACGCGAATCTGTTAGTGTTTAAGTATACAATGTGTACGATCTTAAGTAACCGAGGATGAACAAATTATACCGAACCTTGCACAAACCTGTGAATAGAATTTCAACTAGAAACGAAAGGTTTTATTATTATAGTCTGTTTTATTGGTTACATTCGACGCCTAGTATCTAAAGTTTCCAATAACTGATTCTATAAGAACAAAACTCGCGGACGCTTATCTCCCATACGTAAAATGCCTTACGTTACTCTGTACACCTTAGAAACCCATTGACAATAGGGATAAGATGTGAGGATAATTTAGAGTTGGCAAATTTTGAACCTGTTAGATTAATTTAGTTGTGTTTAGCATCACATATAGACTTACTTCCAAGTGCATTTGTATAAACATTCTATATATCACTTCTGCTACATCAGCCAGACATGTAATAAACATAGTTTTAAATAAGCAACCCAGAGCATATTTGAAAGGTAATAACGCTCAACAAAATATGAGAATTTAGAGCTCTAATATTTATAAAACATGAAATCATATTCTCGAGAACAAATGTACTTACCGCCCCACAAAATGATTTCTGACAAACAGTGAAGTTAGGATGATTAATTATAGCGAGTGGGTGATAGCTTGATGTCTGGTTTGATATTAAATCCATTTGACCTGGCATAAGCGCTGTGCGCTTTTGCACAACATTCTGTATATCATCATGGAAATCACATGTATATAGCGAACCAGGACAAGTTGCAGAGGTCGGAAGTTGACCGCGATAGATTGTCGGTTTTATTTCATTCTGATGAGGCATCGCAGATGACTCTAGTATTCGTGCATAACCTTACCCGGGCATAACAGACGAACCATCCTAACAACGCGCGTTGACGGTAAAACCGAAAGCGCAAGGTTGATTGAATATCTAATAGTGGTACAATTAAACTACATTATTTCACCATAGTGAGTTTTTGGATATTTGATTAACTTATGTCCAAAAACTTCAGTTTTTTGAAAAATAATATTTTGTACCAGTCTTAAGTTCGTCTATTTAAAAAGGACAGTGGTATTTTTCTTCGCTGAGTAAATTTCATTGTTTTGATCGTTTATTACGTATCAAGACTACTGTTTTTCACTTTAATTGAATTTATTTCAGTTAAAGTATTCGACTAAAGTATCGTTTTTACTGTTTTGTCGTTGGTACTCTTTAGTACCACTTTTTCAACTGTATCTGTTAGTACTTTTGGTCCTAGCAATCTACAGCTCTTCACTTTTTTGGTCATTGATAATTTTTTTGTTTCTGGGTATCATCGCATATTGAAAAAACCCCTCCTAAATGACCGGACAGTGTAAAAAAAGCAGTTGCCAACGTCCGGGTTGTCGTTATCCTGTTGAAAGCGGCATGCAGTGCGACGAGTGCAAAGGCTGGTACCACGAAGTTTGCACGAACTTAACGCCTGCTGCTTTCAAACGGTTCAGTAAGAAGGGTTGTGTGTGGCTTTGTCAACAGTGCTGCTCGGATGCAAACAGCTTGTTAACCGAGGCTATCTCACTGGTTGATGCTGCCAAGAAGTGTTTCAACAAGCATAGTCGGAACGCGTCAAACAGCACTCGATCTGTTGACACGCAAATCAATGTGAAGGAAACTAAGGTGAGTCCGGTGATAGATGACTCACGCCCGTCGAAGAAGGAAAAGCAGTATCCAAAGGGGTCTGCCTTAAAAAAAAGCTCAAGAAAAGCAGGGTCTTCTGTTCCCCGTCTCCCAGATGGGATCCAACAGGAAACACCTAGGGGCCGCAATCGCAAGGCTCGATCGGTTTCGACTGGTAAACATAACACGACCCCTCAGGTCGTCGACAACCCCCCAAAACCCAACACTAGTTTTGACGCAACTGCTACTGCTTCTACCAGCAGCGTTAACGAATGGGTAAAGGTTGTAAGGAAGAAAAGTATTGACATAAAAGGGAAACCTGCCCCCGTAAAAGTGGTTGAAAAATCGAAAGCTGATCATAGCGACAGATCAGCTATTTTTCATAGAATTAAGGAGAGCGATAGCTCTGAACCTAAAGCTCGTTTTGAGCATGACATTGTACTGATTAGGCAGCTGCTTAATCAACTCATGCCTCAAAATATGACTGGGGTCACCTTGCTAAAGGTGTATAGACTAGGGAGTCTAACGGACTCGAAACCAAATCATTCCAGACTGCTTAAAGTAGTATTCGGCTCTTCAAACGAACGTGACCTAATTTTACAAAATGGACACAAATTAAAGGGTTCGGGAGTCTTTATCCGAAAGGACCTACCGTTGGCAGACCGTGTTAAAAGACGGGAAGCCGAGAAAGAACTACAACATAGGTTAGACGCTGGCGAAAAGGACCTGAAAATTGTAAATTTTCGGGTTGTAAGACTTCGACAGAGAATGATGCCGAAGCCACTCTGGGTGAAGCACGAAGGCACCTAAACAGGCTTCGGATCTGTTACACCAATGCACGAAGCTTACTTAATAAGCGATCGGAACTAGGTGTACAGATTGACTCTATAAAGCCAGATATAATCGCAGTAACAGAAACCTGGCTGACACAGGCTATAGATAGTATAGAACTTGATTTCGAGGGCTTTACGTTAGTAAGGGCCGACAGAACACAAAAGCGCAAAGGAGGGGGAGTAGCTCTATTCATTAGGAATGCTATCCCATTTACCATTATCGATAGTGTATCCCATGAGAGTGGGACATGCGAATTAGTTAGTCTTCGCTTAAAATGCAAGGGACAAGAGCTGCTGATTGGTTTGGTCTATCGCAGTCCAAGCTGTGAGGCAAATGAGGTCCTGTTAAGCAGTCTCAATACTTGGTCCCAAAGTGGTCGATGTCTAATCCTAGGGGACTTTAATGCACCAATGGTAGACTGGGAAAATCTGCGAACTAAATCGTCAGAAAATTCCTTTGAGCAGGAACTAGTTGATGCGGTTATCACATGTGCCCTAGTGCAACATGTGAAAGAAGCGACTAGGTACGACCCGGACACTGAATCATCCTTATTAGATCTTATACTGACTCACTATGAGGATGATGTTGCGAACCTCCACCATATGCCACCCTTAGGTAAAAGTGACCACGCAGTTTTAACTTTCGACTTCCATATAACTGCCAGTCATGAGGACGCGTCAGTCCAGTCCAGACCCAACGTCTGGAAAGCAAACATACCAGACATCATGCACTCAGCATCGTTAATAGATTGGACAATAGACCCAGAGTCCTCCATTGAAACGGCCTGGGACACATTTCGAAAATCATACTTAAAAGTTACCACACCTCACATCCCTTGGACTATACCAAAGGGGCCGAAAAACTCACCACCATGGTTCAGTAGGGAGGTCCGTATCCTTCTCCGTAAGAAAAGGAAAACGTGGGATAGATTTAGGTTACTGGGGACTGATGAGTCAAAATCTCAGTATCGAAAGGCTCGGAACACTTGTGCCTCGACCCTCCGTAAGTCTAGAAAATTGTACGAAGAAAAACTTGTTAAGGAATCCATAGAATGTCCTAAACGCTTGTATTCCTATATAAACCAAAGGACAAGGAGAAAAGGAAATATTCCTGCTCTATGGGGAGACAGTACTGCTTCATCATTAGTGGAGGACGACTTTGGTAAGGCTCAAGCGTTCTCGAACTACTTTAGCAACGTGTATACCATAGAAGCGCCCTTCTCGTCAGCGTATACAGATCCCCCCATACATACACTGGATAGCGTGACCATTAAAGAACTCGATGTCTTTGGTCTGCTAAATAAGCTTGACATAGGTAAATCCACGGGGCCCGATGAATTACATCCTAGGCTACTGAAGGAATTATCTAACTTCGTTGCGAACCCTTTAAGTACATGCTTTAACCTATCCGTTACGCAGGGTCGCTTACCGAAAGATTGGAAAAACGCCATAGTAAGTCCTGTCTTCAAAACAGGCACGAAACACAAACCTGAGAACTACCGCCCCGTTAGCCTAACTAGTGTGGTTGTTAAAATATTAGAAAAGATTATTCGGAAGGAGCTGTTTAAGTATCTCGATAAAAACCGGATCCTCTCGGAGAAGCAGCATGGCTTCAGAATAGGTTATTCTTGTCTCACTAACTTATTAGTGGCTCGTGAAAGCTGGTGTGCTCTTAAGGACCAAAAGCTACCTGTAGACGTCGCCTTCATTGATTTCAGTAAAGCTTTTGATAAAGTTCCGCACAACCGGCTGTTATATAAGTTAAGAAAAGTTGGGATTGGAGGTAATTTATTGATGTGGATAAAAGACTTCTTAGTTGGGCGTCAACAAAGAGTAAGGGTGAACTCAAAGTTATCTAGCTGGGAAACTGTGCTTAGTGGAGTGCCCCAGGGTACAGTTTTGGGGCCAGTGCTATTCCTCTTATATGTAAATGATCTTCCTTGTCTCCTATCATCATCGGTCTTGCTATATGCTGACGATGTCAAGATATGGAGAACGATACGATGTAAGAGTGATAGCTTAGAACTTCAAAATGACCTGAAGAAGTTATCTGAATGGTCTCAAACATGGCAGTTGCCGATAAATACTTCCAAGTGTGTGGTGATGCATATCGGTCATCAAGGCACAGATACATACACGATGAATAACACTGAGCTACCTGTCGTCCAGACATATAATGACTTAGGAGTTATCGTTAGTCAAGACTTAAAGACTACTGCACACTGCCGTGCAATAGCCGCCAAAAGTTTTAGAACGTTATGGTCAATACGTAGGGCTTTTAGTCATGTCGACACTAAGACGTTTTTGACTTTGTATACAGTGTTCGTTCGTCCTAAACTTGAGTACTGCATACAAGCGGCTAGCCCCTGCTTTAAAAAAGACAGAGAGCTTCTGGAAAAGGTTCAGAGAATGGCGACTAAGCTGGTTCCCGCAATAGCGAAGCTTCCGTATGAATCTCGACTGGCCAAGCTGAACCTTTTCCCGTTGTCATATCGCAGAACTAGAGGCGACTTGATTACAGTCTACAAATTGCTTAGTGATAAATTTGCACCTGATATGCCCTCATTTTTCTTGTCTTCCAAAACAGAGAATTTACGAGGACACTCCAAAAAAGTTCATAAGCCGAGAACAAATTACTTGTCAGCTGACTATCGACTTTCCCATCGAATCATCAACGAGTGGAATTCACTACCTCACCACGTGGTTGAGGCTCCATCCGTCGACTGTTTTAAAAGAAAGTTGGATCAACTGAGAGACCACCATTGCCAGGACTAACATAGGCCATCGAGCCTCCTGTCCTTCCCAAACTGAAACTGAAACTGAAACTGATATATTGTAATAATTAATTGGACCAACATGACTGTAACTCTAGTCTCAATGGTTGTAGGAAGATTACATCAAACATTTTGTACTCGAATGTGCCCTCTGTATGAGGTTCTGGAATAAGCAACAGTAGACAAACAGCCTACCTCAGTAAACCTAAACATACCTAAACAAGTCCTCTAGGACACTAAATGACGATATTCTAAAGCGTTGACTTGTTTTTAGGCCAAGAAAAAAGCCATCTTGTAGGAATTAGCACATGTGTTGAAGAAACGTATATCCAAGGGACACATTACATCGTCATTTACTGAAGTATGAGCGGCACCGTCTACATAAATACAGATCGACCTTTGAAGTTGAATCGTCCAGACAACTTACAAACTTTAAATTCCCTCGGTCAACATCTACAGTGTCATGTCTTCGAGCTTACATTAGAGAACAGAGCGAAATCACTTAAAGCGAGATTCGTAAACGATCTTAACTGCCCTTACGTACATTTCTTTGCTTCAGAAGATAGTTAGTCATGCTATAGCTCTCCCGTTCCATCCCTCCAATCAATGTATATTAGCAATAGGCCTTTAGTTGCCTTAAAAA